TGAGAAATTTTTGACGGCCTTATTGCTTGCTTTTGTTAATAAGATAATCGACTATAAAAATTTAACCGAATAAAGTTTATAGATCATATAATAATATGAATCAAAAATCTCAATTTTAGTTGGTGGGTCCCGTAAGGTGATTTTAATAGCTTAGCTCCCATATATTCACGTCTTTTTTAAGAATTCGCAAAGTTGTTATCGAAACCGTCGAAACCGTCGAAACTTTTGCGACCCATCGAAACCTGTCGAAACCCATCGAAACTGTCGAAACAATTTCTGAAAAGTTTCGACTTTTGCCAAAATGGGTTTAGGTTTTGCCTCGCAACTATGTTCTGCTGGCATATGCTACCATACAATCGAGTCTATTTTCTAACTTTTGGGAGAGAACAGCTCCTAAGCCATTTCCAAAAACATCAGTGTATAAGATAAATGGTTTATTAAAGTTTGGATACTGCAAAATGGATGCAGTAATTAATTTCTCCTTTAAAATATTGAAAGCCTTTTATTAAGCATCTGTTTACGAGAATGATTCTTTCTTTTTTAACAATTGAGTTAAAGGTTTAGCAATTTTTGAAAATCTTAGAACAAATCATCGATAATATGAGAATAATCCTAGTGCAAACCTTAAACTTGTTAGGTCAACTGGAATAGGAAAGCTTTTAACTTTATCAATTTTTGCAGGATCAGGTTGTAATCCATTTCTTCTAATTATATATCCTAAATATGTTATATTAGGTAGGCAAAAATGACACTTTTTAAGCTTGATCATTAAATTCGCTTGCTTGATCACTTGGAATACTTTTCTCAAATTTTGAACATGATTCTCATAAGTTATTGAGTAAATAATGATATCATCCAAATAGATAGTAATAAATTCATACAAGAATTCTTGGAGAATATGATTCATTAACCTTTGAAAGGTTGCTGATGCATTTTTTAGTCCAAAAGGCATAACATTGAATTCGTACAGATCAAACTGAGAAATAAAAGCAGTTTTTTTTTATCCTTTTTACTCATTTCTACCTGCCAATAACCACTAGCAAGATCAAGTGTAGAAAACCAATTTGCTTCTCTGAATTTCTCTAATAAATCATCTATTCTCAGTAGAAGATATGCATCACTTTTAGAAATAGAATTTAACTTTCTGTAATCAATACAGATTCGTTTATTTTCAGTTTTCTTTGCTACTATAACTACAGGAGAAGTTCAGGAACTTAATGAATTTCTAATAATTCCATTTTCTTTCATATGCTTAATTTCATTCTTGAGAAAATTAAGTTTTACTAGATCCTTGCACTTATAAGCTCCGGTGGCAACTGGATCATGATTATTGGTTAAAATATTATGCTTTACCAAATTAGTTTATTTAATTTTTATTTGGCTTAAAGCACATATATCTTCATAGTTATCAATTAGTTTTTGAAAGGACATTTGTTGCTTATTATCAAGAGGTCCAACTTGAAAATCATCTTTAATTTTCCAAATATTTTCTTTAAAAGTTTCAGTAAAAAATACTGCTGAGTTAGCTTCAAATTCTTCCTTAAATGCAAGAGTTAAATAGGCAGGATTTTCTTCATTCTAAGAATTGTAGTCAAGAGGTAGAAGGTCAGTTTTTCTCCTCATATTCTTCTTGACTATCTGCTATATAAGCTTTAATTTCACTAAGTTCTTCTTTCTTATAGTCATCTAAAACTTATTCTAATTCGTCATCCTGTTGATCTTAGTTAGTATGATAACTAATAAGGGCTTCATTTGCACTAAAAGTCACAGGTACTATGATTGTTTTCGCTAAATATCTTAACTTAATTTAGTTAATTCCAAAATCAAGACTAGCATGAGTTTTTCTAAACCAATTCGTTCCTAAAAATAGAGTTTTATCTTGAAAGTCGATAACTTGTAAAGAGATAAGAATTAATAAATTTTGGATAGCAATTTGAGCCCTTTTAACTTGTCCTAATGCTCTAGTTCTTTCTTTATTAGTAGTAACTATGACAGTATTAGATTATTTATCGATAGATAATCCTACTTTCTTTATTAATTTTCTGGTAATAATGCTGACAGCAGCTCCAGAATCTAAGATAGCAATAACAGGATTTCCTTTAATTCTGATATAATAACGGACAGCTGTAGATTTGTCTTCCTTTTTTTCTTCATTTTCTTGATTAGCATAATTTATTTCTTGAATTTTTGGTCTCCTCAACCCTTGAGCAAGGTTATGTCTTTGATTTGGATATTGTAAAAGCTGACCAATTTTTGCAAAAGAAGGCATTTTCAATAAATCTTGTATAACATTATAGGAAAGCATCTGATCAATTTGAGATGGTCCTCTTTTGACTTTCTTCTTTTGGGTAGGAGTAATAATTTGTGGGGTTTCTACTTCCATAAATTCATCAATAGGTTTTCTGCTTCTCAAGTTTAATTCCCTTCTGGATTCAGATTATTTCTTTCTTTTTACTTCTAATTGTTGAGCAGTTTTTCTATTAGTAGTATAAGGTTTGTTTCATAGGAGGGCATAAACTTCTTCCTCCTCTACTTCTTCAATTTCTTCTTCTTCACTATTGGTAAAAACTCCAACATAATTAGCTTCTCTTTTATCAGATTTTCTTCGATATACTGGTTTTTCAGACATACATTTTTTTGAATAATGTCCTTTTTCTTGACAACGATAACAAATAATATTCTTTTTGTCCTAAGCTTTTGTATCCCATGTCTTGGTATCCCAAACTTTTGTAAGATTTCTATCATCTTTTAGCTTTCTTCTTTCAGGTTTTCCTTCAAGTTATGCGGATAACGCATTGGAGAAAATCGCATAGTTTAAGGATAACTGTTCTATTTGTTAGTAAGATTATCAATAGCATTATTGTTTCCACTTAGTTGTGTTAGTATAAGAGATTGTTGTTCATAATATTGACTACTTTCAACTTGTTTAGCTGCATCAATAGCTTCATCTATATTTTTGGGATAACTAAATACTACAAGAGTAATGATATTTTTTCTTAATTCATTAAGAAAAAGTCTCACAATATATTTATCTGATAAGGTCTTAGAAGAGTCGACTTTCTTTAACAATCTTTTAAATTTTCCTGTATAAAAATCTACTTTTTCATAAGGTCCTTGATAAAGAGTATTTAGCTGATGATGCCATAGATTTTGTTTTTCTTCAGTTGAGAATTTTTCCAAAAACAATAGTACAAAACTTGATGCAGCATAGCTATTTGCATTCCATCTAATAATGGTATCAACATTTTCTTCAAACCAATATGCAGCCAATCTATGCAGATATCCTGATACAATTTTTAGCATACGAGCTTTAGACTAATTATTTTCTTCAGCAGTAACTTTAAAACTTCTAATCCAGTCATTAGGGTCTTCATCATCATTTCCATAAAAAAGTTTTACCAAAATAATATTACTTTCTTTTGGTGTAGTGTTTCCACCATATCCACCTGAACCAGATGGTATACTTTTAATATCTTTAGCAAGATCTTTGAAACTTTTTGTCATGTGATCCATGAGATTCTTTAACTGTTCATTATTCATTGTTGTTTTAGTTAATTCAGAGGTTGTAGATGTAGGAGTAAAGGGTGAGATAAATATATTAAAAGAGTTTTCAAAGCACTCAGTAGTGTGAGTAACTAATAATAAGTATTGTAAAACAGATGATAAATCAGCAGGGTATAGGTAATAATTTAAACAATATAATAATGCGATTGCTGCTTTTGTCATTTTATTATTATTATGAGTATTTTCACGATAACTATCTAAATAAAGTTTAAATACTGTTAAAAAGCAATTACTAAATGCTGTAGTATTATATTCATTAGAGATCCAATTCCAAAAATTTTTAAAATTCTTTGTTATTATTTGATTAATAGGATTGTACGCACACAAGATGCATCTTTTTTCAAAGGTGAATTATTTCTGTGTGCTTCTTTATGATATTCTTGGATTATTTTAGAATGTCAAAACTAGTAAGTATATTCATATAAGTTTAATAAAGACAATTATAATCCTGGCAGGAATCACTAATTTGTTAACCCTACACTTAACTGTTGAATTTAAAGCAACTATGACTTAATAACAGGGAGTAACGTGCGAAAAACTACTAAGTTACTGTGAAATAAGTCCTATCACAATCAACCTTAAGTTTATACTTTAGATGAGTAAAATAACTTTAACAACTTATAAATACGATAAACACAATTGATACGTTGAAGGATTTTTAATATATGTAGTTTAAAAAGAGATTCCTTTATTGTAGAGATTTGTATTCTTAGCAATCCTTAACCTTGGATTCTAAGTCTTGAACTTGAACTATTGAGTTTACATTGTTATCTCTGCCTTTTTGCAAGGATAAATTTCTATCCTATTTATATAAAATACAATTATAAAAAATTGCTAATTAACGCTAAACTATTTTATAATGATAAAATAAATATAAAAGATAAATTACAATTTAATAATAATAATAATATAATAAATAATAATAATAAAATATAAGAATAAAATAAATTAAATAAAAATATTAACTAAGTTAAAAATGCTAATAATGTTGATAACATTGATCATTCATCAATCTTTGTGACGCAGTAAGATTAACTTCACATGGTATCAATTTCCTCCTCTAAATTTGAAGCTTTTGCAAAAATTTCATAAGCTTTATCAACCAAGTTCTTGAACTACTGGGATTTGAAATTATAAATCGTCTTAAGAGTTATTTTTCTAGTATGTCCAATTTGTGCGATTCCCAGAGTTTCAAAAAGATAGTAAGTCCTTTTTGAGACCTGCCGATAGTATAAGGTCATTTGGTTTCTGATTTGGATCTATTCGGCTGGACTTGAAGTTTCTGTCTCCATTACTTGTCTAAGATAAAATGCATTAGCTAAAGCTAATACTCTATTTTTCAATCTGGTAACTCGTAATAAATCTCTATAAGTAGTTTTGACTTTTTGCGCAGTTGTGTCAGTTCCCATATAAGGTGAAGGAATATTGGTATCTGCTAAGTCATTAACAGCCATTAAATCATCCTTAATTTCTTGAAATAAAGTCATTATATTGAAAAACTTTGAGAAATTTTTAAAGGAATTTGATCCTTTATATAACAATCTGAGGCTCCCAATTTTGATAATCATGATAAGACTTTAATAGATTTTCATTTACAGGTATATGTAGCATTCTTCCATCTATCTCTCTTATCTTATACGATCTATTCATTAAAACTTGATGGATATAGTAAGATCCTTTCTATTTTAGGTTTAGTTTACCAGATTATTGCTTATCTTTAGCCACATCATAGTAAAGAACTTTATCTCTAATCTCAAAATAATAAAAATGATCAATTTGTCTATCATGACGATTCTTTTATTTTTGTTGAGTTATTGCAATACGATTTCTTGCAATTTCTTTAGTTTGTGGTAATTGATCAACCAAATCTTGTAAATGTTTGAATAATGTGATATTTTGATCATTAAGATCATCCAGGGTAATGTTGCATTTCTCCCATACACTAGATAAAAAGGAGATATTTTTGTGATAGAGTGTTTGCTTTTATGATATGCAAACAAGGTTAGTGTAATTTGTAGATCCCAATTATCTAAATATTGTATAGTTTTTGCTAAAGATTCACACAAGATACGATTTAAATATTTCACTAAACCATTCATTTGGAAGTGATAAGGTGTTAACAATAGATATTTGATTTTAAATTTATCCATCAAATCTTTGATCATTTGATTATTAAAATGGGTTCCTCTATCAGAAAGGATTTTTGTAAGGCATCCATGATGACTGATTATGTATTCATAAATAAATAAGACAACCTGTTCTACAGTAGCTTCAGGAACAGCTTTAGCTTCAGGCCACTTGGTAAAATAGTTGACAGTTACAATAATATGCTTATTTCCATTTGACGTTATAGGTAAAGGTCTAACGAAATCTATACCAATTTGATAAAAAGGTGCTTGGACTGGTATAAGATATAGCTCTTCGTGTTTTTTTGGTTTTTCTCTTTTTTGGCAGCTATCACAAGAATGAACATATTCTCTAATATTTTCATATAATTGTGGCCAATAGTATCATTCTTTAATTTTATCAAACATTATATCTATTGCAAAATGTTTAGCAGTTGGATCATTATGCGTCATATAAAGTATAGCTTCTTCCATTTCATGTGATCGAATAACTCTGAGAAGCTTTTGGCGAACATATTTATACAAATAATTGTTTTTAATTTTGAAATATCTAGATTGTTTAACTAATTTTTATTGCTGAGTTGGTGTTAAATCGTCTGGTAAAGTTTAGTTTTGTAAATAATTAAAAAGGTGATTATATTGTGTTATATCTATTTTGAGCTATTTGTCACACTGTAAACACTTCATCTTTCACTCAAATAAATATGTTTTAATAAATGTTAAGGTGGATAGGAGATTAATAAGAAGATAAGGGAATAATATCTAACATTTTATAAAGTTGAGAATATGCATTTTCTTGTTAAACTAGAATTGGTTCTTCTTACCATACGTCATTAACTAGATAAGTTAGTTTCATATCAGGATAAATTTTTCCTCTTTCATATCCTATAATACAATCATGAATAATTATACTATAAGATAGATTCTTTTTACACATTTTACAGTAAGTGTGAATATGATGATTCTCAGTATCATAGGCAAAAGTATATTGAGACTCTCCTTTGATAATAGGTTGATTGGCTATAACTGATTTAATCTTAATATTTTCACGATATATATCTTCTATTTTATCCTTTGGGCTTTCATATCTAACTGCAGTAATTAAGGGTACATTGGAAAATTGTTGAAATAATTATTCTGCAAACTATATTTCTTCATTATTTTTAATAGAGTTATGGTTAGAAGAAATATGTCATTCGTCCTCTGATTCTTCAACTTCCTTAGTAGTTACCATGAAAATTTCACATGTATTATCTTTGTATTTTTGGTCAGTATTAATTCGTGAGAAGACATCAGTATTAGCATTTAGCTTTTTAGGTCTATGCTTAATTTCAAAATCGTATTGTTAGAGTTCCATAATCTATCGTGCTCTTCTTCCTTTAGGAATTTTTAAGGTTTGTAACCATTTAAAAGCTGAATGGTCAGTAATAATAGTAAAAGGTTGTGAGCTTAAATAATGGTGAAAATATCTCACAGCCCATAAAACTGCAAGGCATTCCTGATCAGTTATTCCATAATTATGCTTAGCTTTGTTCATACTTCTGCTATAAGGTTGCTTGGCAAAACCCCGAGGTTTTGACAGGCATCGAAATCGAAACTCATCAAAACATTTTGCCAAATTTTTTTATTAAAGGCAAAATTGCGAAAGTTTCGACGGATGGCAAAAGTTTTGACAAGGGCAAATGTTTTGACGATGCTATCAGTGTTAACTGATCAGCCTGTTATGAGTGATCAGTTCATCAAAAGGAGTTTTAGCGGTTTCTTTTCTTCATCGTGTATAATATTTGTCAAATCATTCATCAAATTTTTTGACAGAATCCACCAATAGGAAGATGAAGAATCGATTTTGGTGTTATCATAAAATATATAACAAAATTTTCAACTCTGAATGAATTCTTCAAATTCTCTCAATATCATCAATATAAAGATTTTAGACCATATCAAAATTTGGTTAACAAATGATGGAGTCATAACTAT